TCGCTCGCCCTAAAGTCCTGGGTGCTGTCAATGATAGCGGACTACATGCGGCGACCGTTCGACGCTATCGCGGTTGAGATGGTCCGGTGCATTGTGAATTTGGTCGTCATGGAGGTGCGTGCAGCGTCTTGTCCCGTTGACAGCTTTGTGAACCATTCTCAACTGGAAGCTGATTGTCTTCTCAAAGTGGTTTTGGGGAGCCGACGAGAGCATGTTTGCTCACATGAGAGGCATCAAGCGCATGATTAAACTCCGTAAAGGCATGCGAGGGCTGAGAGATGTAGTAGGCGAATCGATCATAATTCTGTAAGTGAGTTCGTATCAAGTCATAAAAAGTTATGCTCATGCCATCCAAAAGGACTGACTATGAGATTGCGTGTGCCTTTGAGACGGATCTCTACTGGTTGGAAAATGATCCAGCCCGTGACGAGGAGATACCTGTCCCGACAACATGGCCAGACTGTTATGACAGCCCCTTACTGGCGCCCGCACCGCGGTTCGAGAGTATCGCAGAGAAGCTCGGCATCTGCGGCGCGACGGCCAATATTCTAGACGACGTGCGGTTCCTCACGGATTCCGTCACATCGGCATCGGCGATGGCGTCCGCGTCGAGGAAATCAAAGATTCGATCAACCGCATCGTGGCTATACGAAAAGCTGCGGGAGCAAGGCACAGCAACGGCAGCAACGAGACCCACACAAGTCGCCTCCTCCCCCTCCACCGAAAAGGGACGGATCCTCGAGACTGTCAGGATCGCCGCCGTGATTTACAGCTGGTCCATCAAGTCTCTGCGCCAGATTTCGCGGTTCGACGACGTTGATATGCTCCAGGCAGCGTACGCCAGCCTGACGAGCGTGAGCATGACGACGTGGAAGGGGATCCCGGGGATCTTCCTCTGGGTGATGCTGGTGGCGGCCCCGAACGCTGCGGCGGATGCCAAGGGCAGATTCGTGAGGAGGAAGATGGCCGTGACGGGGCTATCGATCGGGTTCGAGGACTTTGCGCTGGGAATATCGTACCTCAAGGCGTTCTGGGGCGTGCAGCAGTGGATCGCCAGGGAAGGGGGCGGCGAGGGCGATGGCGATAGCGGCGCCGGGGTGCAGAGGCTGGAGGATAAGTGGTCTTTTGGGTCATGGCCGGAGGTGTCGGCATAGTTCACGATGGTCCCGAGAGTCACGAGAGCATTAAACACTCGCAGGCTTGCGCGTTGTGTTGTTCTGGCCCCGGGGTACTAGGTTGCGGACTTGCGGTACGGGATAGCCTACGGGATATCCGTACGGAGCCGAGCACGGGATAGGGGGAGGATGGGGGGAAGGAGGGGCAAGCTGATCCTGCGGCGTCACGAAGACATCATATGCTTGAATTGTCTGACATTTGAATGATGGGTTTGCTGACCGATCTTTGGGTTTTGCTTCTTCATTTTGTTGGGTTCCAGTTTGTTGGTGGCGCAGGCAGTGAGATACAACACACATGATCACAAAAGGCAAATAGTTTGATACTCGTTCTGAGCTTCTGCCACTCTGGTATCAGTGAGCAAAGGCATGGAGTAGGGGTGAGTAGGGACGAGGAGGGATCAAGAAGGGACGAGAAAGGGATGAGCAGCTCGGATTTCCTAAAGGAGCAATCCGGTGGACCGGGACCGCATGCGCAAAGCAACACTGCACTCCGCATTTCTCCCCCGGACGCAGCTGTCTCCCCACCGCTCGAAACTCTCTACCTTGCCGTATTAGTCTCTGTTTGGTTGACATGCGCAGTCCAAGTGTCTAGCGTGCGCAGTAGTGGCTATCTGGATGTGTACCGACGTGTAGGTTTCCGCCGCCCAGGTAAGGTTACTCAGGTATCTGTGAATGTTGGTCTGGACTCTGGAAACTCAGAGGCAGGGATGAGAATGGGGGTGGATATGAGTTCTGGACCCTACGTTGCAGTTCAGACCCAGTTTAGGTCCCTTGATTTTTTCTGCTCCATTCTCACGAAGCTTCACGATACAACTCTGAGTCTCTGACAGTCTGAGTGCTCAAGCAACAAACATCCGCAGTTCCGTCCCAATAGTGCGGCGGCTGTGGCCAGATATGAGTTTGGGAATGAGAAATGGAGCCAAGCCCCACGAAAGCCTTATCAGAGCCCTTTTCAGAAACATAGAGACTGGAGTTCAGACATGTCGGGGGTGTCTCGCAGCCCAACGGGTGGTAGTTGAATCTGCCATTTTCCGTTTCATGCCAGTGAAAACTTGAAAAAAGTGGTGAATCCTGATGTGGTTCTTTCGGTAAACCAACCGATTTTCCGCACCGCGGGCAGCCGGTTGAGTTTCCGCCGCGAGCGGAGGGGTCCAAAGGTGGAGTATTCCCGATTGCCCGCCCCCATGTTCCCATGGCCCCATGTCTCTCTCCTAAGCAAAGACTAGACTCTCACGCGGGAGCGCGTCCAACTGCTTTCCCGGAGCTTTTGGGAGCAGTTTTGGAACCAGGGAACCGGGGGGAGTCCACGCAGAGACACAGAGACACGGGAACACGGGGGCAAGGCGGGGGCGTTCCAATCTCTATTCTGAAATCTGACATCCCGCATGACCTGTCTCGGACATCGCAGACCCATCTTTGAAGGTTCTAGCCCTCGATGACAGAGAAGTCTGGAGCTCCATTGCTGCACATGCTGCCCATGGCATGCAACGAAACGTACCCGCCGGCGTGGACGAACAAACCTTAGATTTGCCGGTCCCGCAGAGACTCCAACGAGCAGCAAAAAGACAGTGGTGCGAGGGGTTCCCGTTTCTAAGAAAAGATGAGGCGAAGGGAGCTTCGAGCTTGATACCACGCACTAGGTAGACACACTGCAGTAGGTATCTGTTACCGGTAACTTGACGGCACACGAGCGAGCCCGACGTCTCGTCACCAGTCCATTTCCGGAAACGGCAGAGACGATACATACGACCTAGTATAGACAATCCTAGACAGCTCACCATAACGCAAGCTTCCCCTTCAGTCCAATCCCATCCCCTTGTTCCTTCGCCCGCCACGGCCGGCGCTAGCCCGTTGGTTGCTAAAACGGATGCTCATTGTTGCTCGGGATTGCTGATCTTGATCTTGCCATGGGGGTAATGGACCATGGGCCAAGGGTCATGGCATTACGGGAAGAACTTAGACGGTGAGGGGGTGTGAGAGGCGTGGGAAGCAATGGGACGAGACGTGGGTGCGGGGAAGCTCATCCCATTGGGAAAAGGGTGAAAGGTAGAGCTCGACGATGTATAAGAGGACGACTTCACGATGGTGTCCTAATCACTTAGTCTCTCTTCACTATCACACACACTTTTCATCATCATCACTCCTCTCGTCTTATAGACAATAAGCAAGCTCTATCAGAGTTCCATTGACTTTCAACTATCAACCCATTTGGTCCAACACACCCTCCCATCTCGGCCCGTCTTAGTCTTAACTAGCATCAACCACCTCCGTCATCAAACTACCTCTCACGGAACCAACCGCATCATCTAGATACCTGAAGAAGCCAACAAGAAGGCCTCTTCCCTCCCATCCTCCTATCCAGGAACCTCCACCAAAAACACACAGCAGAAGAAAAATGTCTCCCGCAGCTCTCGTTGAAGCCGGCAGCAACATGTCACGGTACCTAACCCGCGTCCGGCCACTCCGTCTCATTGTACCTCATCTGACCCCAAGGAAACTTCCCAGACTCGCAGTACAGCCCGTCGAAGCCCCCGTCGTGGCACCCGCAAACCCCCTCGTCGCGCAGGAGAGGAGCTTCAACTCGACCCCCAAGTCCCTTGGCCTCGGCGCCACGGCCCCCCAGGTCGCTCGCGGCCTCCCCGAGTTCAGCCTCCAGGGCAAGGTCATTGTCGTCTCCGGCGGCGCGCGCGGACTCGGTCTCACCCAGGCTGAGGCCCTCCTCGAAGCTGGCGCAATAGGTAAAGAATCAACTTTTCTAACAATCTTCAACTCTCTCTCCCTCCCTGTCTTTTCTTCAAGAGAGACGTATGCTCTATAGATGTGTCATTACACAAATGCAAAGCGCAAGACTAACATCGACCCCGTAGTCCACGCCATCGACCGCCTCCCTACCCCCGACCCCGACTTTGAAAAAGTCGCCCTCCGCGCCACCGCCGAGCTCGGCACCTCGCTCTCCTACCACCAGGTCGACGTCCGCGACGTCGCACAGCTCAACGACATTGTCGAGGGCATCGCCAACCAGCATGGTCGCATGGACGGCCTCATCGCCGCCGCGGGCATCCAGCAGGAGACCCCCGCGCTCGAGTACAAGGCCGAGGACGTCGACCGCATGATGGGCGTCAACGTCACTGGTTCCTTCATGACCGCCCAGGCCGTCGCGCGCCAGATGGTTCGCCTCGGCACCGGCGGCAGCATCGTCTTGATTGCCAGCATGAGCGGTACCGTTGCCAATAGGGGGTTGATCTGCCCGTAAGTCTTATTATACCAACAAACTTGATTTCCATCAAAACAGTATCAAAATGGCTGACACTGGTACTATAGCGCATACAACGCATCCAAGGCCGCCGTCCTGCAGCTCGGCCGTAACCTGGCCGCCGAATGGGGCGCCCACGGCATCCGCGTCAACACCATCTCACCCGGCTACATCGTCACCGCCATGGTCGAAGCGCTCTTCGTGGAGTACCCAGAGCGCAAGGTCGAGTGGCCCAAGCACAACATGCTCAACAGGCTCAGCCAGCCCAGCGAGTACCGCGGCGCCGCCGTGTTCCTTCTCAGCGACGCCAGCAGCTTCATGACGGGCAGCGACCTGCGCATCGACGGCGGACACTGTGCCTGGTAAACACCTCGGGGGTGACTGGACAAAGAAAAAGCGGGTTTAATGATTGATTTTGGGTATTTTTGATGATTAGTCGTTAATTATTTCCAAAGACTATGGAGGAGTTTGGGAGCTTTTGCGGTTTTCGTAGAGCAGTATACCTATAATTACATTTTTTATACACCTTCAACAACTTTCAACAAACACTCTCTCTGTGCGTGAAAGCCAACTCAAGCAGGCGACGTGATCCCAATCCGACCCAACCTCGCAACAACCCCAGCCTTCAAATCTAACCTCGCCTCAATCTCAGCGGGCGAGTGTCCCCTCTCGCGCATGAGGTGCATCTGGATAATCGTCTTCAAATCCAGAAACTCTCTGCCGCCGCTGCTACTGCGTCCGAGCCCGTCAAACTCAGCATCGGCTTCCTGCTGCAGCCGGCGCCTGGCTTCGAGGGTGCCGAGCGTCGCGTTGCGGGATGTGGAAGGGAATAAGGGGCCCGGATTCTGGATCAAGTCGGCGTGAGGACTTGGGCCGGGGCGGCTGCCTGCGACGGGACTGGGGCCGGCGCTGGCTGTTGACGTGGAGGAGAAGGTTGGGTTCGGCTGGACGATGCCCATTTGGCGGAGGCGCGAGGAGAATTCGGCGGTGACTTCGGGATTTGTGGTGGTTGTGGCGGATGTGAGATCTGGGTGGTGGCGGTCAGCTTTTTGAAATACAAGTCCGCTATCTAGAGAATGAGACGAACCCTCTGGTTTGAGTGTCGCCGTCTTCGCCCGCGATTGAGCCTGCGCGGGCTGCGTCGGAGGGGCAGCGGGAGCTGCTCTCGCGGCGGTTGACGGTGGTGGTACAGCGCCCGGAGCGCGGGTCGGGAATTTGCGCGCGGCGCCTTGCGCGGCTTTTGAAGAGGATGATCCCATTGTGCCGAAGCTGGTGCGTATAGTGGTGTGGGCGAAGATCGAGGGGAGAGAGTCAACGAAGGGGGGCAGAATGATGTGGGAGAATTGGTGGGAAAGAGAGAAATGCGACCGAGGAAGCTCGAGATTCTTTGCGGCAAACGATGGTTTCTTATCGATAAGGATGACAGGGACCATGACGCATCCATTTCTGGGGTACGTATCGTAAGATGAGTTTCGTCGTGTCTGGTTGGTCAATTCACCGGTTTCCTACCGCGCTCTCGGTGTGCTTTTCGGTGTACTTTGGAGCAAGACGTCAAGATATGATCTTTGGTCCCCCCTGTTCAGAGAGCTTTGAGAACCGATATAAGCTGACTCATCATATCTTAATTCCATCAACTACCTTCTTCTCTGATAAGTTCCAGCATATTCATTGCAATGCGTGAGGTTCCTTCAACTCTGACGAAGCGACAGCCGTGGTGTTCTTCTCCGTGGCGACAGGGCTTACACCTTCGGTAGCAATGTAAAGATCCATAACCTTGGGTCCAGGATAATGATGGACCGCGTGGACCGCCCACCACAGTCCCGTGATCGCCACAGTTCCCACCAGAATGACTGCACTCCAGTTCATCGTCGCTACCGTTGTGGGCAACACGAATGCTGATGTACTCGTTAAGGTTTGGCCAGAGTTATGGAACGAACAAGGACTTACGGAAACAAAACATAATATCAAACAAGACAATGAATAGCACGGCCATTCCGTTGATGATGTATCCCGCCTTTCCCAGATGGAAGGGTCCACGAGGGAAGTACTTTCGCCCCGAGAGCATGTTCGCTGCGAATGGGATGGCGTATGAGACGGATGTCAGAATGATGAACGAGCTTGCCAGTGCTAGGAAGGCTGCTGAGCTTCCGAGGGGTATGGCGCCCAGTCCGGTTGCGACGACGCCTGGATGATCCATGTTAGTCTCCAAAGTCTTGAGGTTGGAAAAGGACGAGAACGCGGTGACGTACAGACAAACAAGGTTGACCAAATAGGACAGCTCAGGCGCTCATTCACCTGAGCGAAGACATTGGATAGTGGCACAGCATTATCGCGTGCGAGCGCCCAGTAGGTTCTCGAAACCTGAGAACGATATCAGCGACTGGAACTTCACAAGCTCAAGTGGATGGTGATCTCACCGTCAAAGTCAGGCCCACGCAACACGTCAGCGTACAGCCCAGCATGATGAATAGCAGACCAAACGCTGCGCCTGGGTTTCGGATTCCATCGCTGCTGGTAGTGGCTTGCACGTAAATGTTGGTCAGCGGGAAAGAGTTGAAGCCTCCTTGGAGAGCCGTAATGTCCGTGATTGCGTACGACAATGCGACGGCGAAGCAGAAGGCATCTATCAATGGTCAGTTGTGGGCTCGACATATTGGCAGACTGTTGACTAACAAACGAAGCCCAGGGATATCTGCAAAAGGATAGCCTTTGGGAGATCCTTTTTGGGATGTGGCATCTCTTCAGCCATGTGGGTTACCGAGTCAGGAGTCCCAATCGTGAAGGCGCCGTTAAGAACACCCAGGAGAAAAGCAACGCCCCCTGACCACCCTGTGGCATTATTCTCGTCGAAAGAGCCCCATACAAAGTGATTACTCGCATGTTGCTTCGGCATCGCCGCCAGAACGATAATGGTGACGACGCCGCCGATCAATACGAAGATCGTTCCGGCTTGCTGGGTGTACGGAGCATACTTGTTGGCAAAAACAATGAAAGCCGCGCACCCCCAGAGGATGATGAGGTACCCGATGAAGACGTGGAAGGGCTGGCTGACGTAGGTGTCCCAGTTCCAGACGGCGTACATGCTCACGGCCACATTGCTCGAGATCTGCAGCAGGGCTGCGAGCGAGAAGAGCCAGCCGTAGAAGTTGATCCACCCGGTGAAGAAACCGAGGACTCGGCCCCAGCGAGGACCGCCGGCGATGGTGGCCCAGTGGTAGACGCCGCCCGCCGTGGGGACTGATGAAGCGAGCTTGGAGAAAGGTGTCACTCGTTGTTATTCACATTGCTTTGCAAACGAGAGGAGGGATAAAGAGACTGGGATTAGTAAGACAAACCTCTGATAAACTCAAGCCGATGAGGGAGTAGTAAAAGACGGCGACGAGGAGGCCGTAAATGATGCCGGGTGGGCCACCGTTGACTAGATTGATCCCGGCTCGTTACAACGTCCGGCTTGCAAGCAACAAGCGTCTAGTAGAACTTACGAATTGACACAGAAATGGACGATCCCAAGGCAACCCAGGCGTTATCCACCGTCAGAGCCATGCTTGCCAGTCCAAAGAAACCATATTGGCGATTTAATTGATCCTTGTAGCCCGCGGCATTCAAGCGGACTCCATCTTGGACGGCGACTACGGTCTCGTCATCGGACGTAGACGCCGACTCGGCAACTCTATCCCGTGCAAGAAATGCCTTCATTGCAGACCTTTACAACCAGAGAAATTGAGTGCCTGTAGCCAGCCGGTGCAAAAAGGCGTGGAATTGGTGATATCGAAACGCGAATACCACTAAAACAGCGGGAGCGCTGGAAACGCTGGGATCGAAAGGGCGAAAGAGGAGGAAGATCGAATTCGAAACGGAAAGCAAGACAGTAACAGTCCGGCGCAAGACGTCTGTGCAATGCGACACAACGGACGAAATTTGTAGGAAATCGAGGAGGCAGACGAAAAGACGGTCTTGGCGGGTGACATTGTGCTTCTAATACGCCATGTCTTGGGACGGAAGAGCTGCAACTGGACCATCTCTCGCCCAAGTGGCTAGGAATATCAGATAACACTTGTGCGACGGCCATAGGTACAGATTTGGCGTCGCATTCAACAACCGACTTGTCAGCCTGCACAAGCGCCGGTTCTGCATATCAGAAAAGGGATGCCTCGGAGGGCTAGACATGTTCCATTGAGCTAGGCATGCTGCGAAACACCCTGCCCAGGGTCTTGGCTACCAGAAGAAACGCGCTGGTACCCTCTTTCTGAGGATTCCAACCTCTCTAAAGTACTCCGTAGAGCCATTGTACGCTACGCGATACGTGGGACGAGCCGTCCGATCTCTTACTCACGACGTTGTAAGATCTTCTTTGGTCCACTTGGAGAAGCGAGCGGATCATGAGGCATATCCTGTGGTCTGGGGAGATGGAGGGGAAGATAAGTCGAAAAAGGGAGGCCGAATATTGACAAATCGCGGCACACAACGTTTGGCGGTTGGGTAAAACGGATACATGCGGGAACGCTTGAGCAGAAGTAAGCTTTCTCAGGGGCGATGCCGAGTGGCTTAAGCCCCTATGGCTCGGCCCAGATCATAGATGGGACCCCCCTTGGATGCTGGCGATCTCAGTGGGAACGGCAGCCAACCCCATGGCTCGTCGACGTGTGGCTGGCCAGGGAAACCAGCCGAGGCGCATGGTTTAGGGAGTACGGATACTGATAGATGAGATGCTCATCGAAAACGCCCCTCTGCTTCATGCCAAACTTGGTGTCGTAAAGTTCGCGACGAAACCCGTGCTCTGGGAGTCGGTCTTGGATGACCATTGAAGAATTGATCAAATTGATCTTCCACCGGCAGATGGGTCAGCGGCCGATGTGACGATGACTGTATCTACCAAGTGTAGCCGAGACGGCCTATTCCGCTATTGGACTTCGTATATGATTGAGGCCCTTGTCTGAAGCAAGGAGGCTGGAGCTGGTGAAAGTCGAGATGCGTGTCTCGCTGCTGCCGCCTGGATGGAAGAGGTACGGGGAGTGAGAGAGAGAGAGATGGGACCCAGACCTGGTGGCCTGCTAGTTTTCGCCCGATGGCCGACCTCGACCTTTCGGGTCATTTCATTGGCAAGTCTTGGCAAGGTGATGGGTGGTAGTAGAGTTCCAAGTGCTGACCACTTGGTGAATAATTGCTTGGATCCGCGCAACGGCGATTAGAAAGACCTGAGAAGTCTTACCAAAAGGCGAGGACCAGGAAGTAATCAAGCATGAACCGAATTAGTATCAGCGGAAGGGTATTTGCGTCTTCTTATCGAATCAGAGCGGTCTCGTCGACGATAATAAGAAAGCTTGATGAAAAGGAATATGGGAATGGAAGAATTGGAGCATTCAAGAACCATAGAATGAGATACTTAGGTACAGTACACCCCGCTAGAAGCATCCCCGCAGTGCGGCAGCTTAGGTAGCGCCGAAGACCCGTTATTTGTTTACATAGGTACCTGCCGCTTATCGCCTAGCTACCTAGGTATGTCCCCTTTGGGATAAACCAGCGAGAAAGGGCCAGAAGCTTAACAGCGCGTGGGTCCAACCGTTGCACGCAGGAAGGAGCACAGGAAAGTAGGAAGGAACATTCATTCACTTGCAAATCTTCATGGGCTTTTCATCAATCCAGTGTTTTTGCATCCAATTGCCATCCTCACATGCTTCATCAGCCGCCATATCATAGTTGGTCTTTTTGTGACCTCAAAGCCTCTCAATCTTGACTTCACAACCGTGTCTGCTACGACTCTTCCTTGCTTCCATGTTGCGCCGCCTCGCTGACGTCGGATTGATTGGTGGGCACCTCTCCCCAAAGCTTCGTTAAACTTTGTGAAGTTCGACAGGTGGACCTTGCTGCAAACTTAATGGCCATCAAAGGGGAAGCTACAGGGCTCGCCGAACATCTCAATTCTTTCTCCAAGTGGGCCAGCGCAAAACCACGAGCTCCTCATACGGGGAAGTGCCACCTTGCTTACTTTTGCCGTTGAGCTTCTTATATTACTTTGACTGACAAACTGCCCAAGCGAGTTGAATAAATGCTTACCAACCTTGATGTAATATACAGTCAATGTAATGAAGACCTCAGTGACGAAGTCCCACAATCTGAGTAGCCCAAGACTCCAATGCAACACTGAAGAATGAGTCGATATTCATCCAATTTCCGATCAAAGCTTGTGTGTCTGGCCATTGCCGATGTCGACATCCGGAACCTGCCTGTCACCTCAAACGCCCAGACAATGCTTTCATAACTGCCGGTTCTATCATCGGAGCAGGGACGGTGCCGGATGGGTTCGGGCCATCCAAGGTCATCCCTTCTAATCAAGGGTCCTGTCCCAGGCACCATGTGGCGTTCAACGTCTCTCCTCACGACGGGAATGCAAGCATTTATATGAGTAAATGACCACTAGCAGCTCTTTCGAGCAGTATCCACCTGGATTTCAAGGAGAGCGGAGTCTAGTCGCCTACTTGACCCATGTTCATCGTCATCTAAAGATGATACTTAGGAGGTGGTCATCCGTCTTGGTAGCTGAAAATGCCCAGAGTCTTATTTCCGTCATTGCTTTCACCACTGTCGTTCCTAACTTTCTGCAACTTGCCGTAACGCCCGTGGCGTTCAACGCAGCTTACAATGAGAAGCTTCAAGCACGTAGCAGTAGCTCTGGCCTTCCTTCTGTGCATGATTTCCCAAGCAGAAAGCTCACCGAAGCCAGCGAGACAATGTCCGCCTCTGAAGAAGGGCAGCTTTGTCGTTCAACAGTACCAACTCTATCCCGAGAATGCGGACTGGGACGTCAACAACTGCATCGTCTACTTTGGGTAAGCTTATGTACAAGCTCAGACATGAATCATGATGCTAAGGCAGAGGCAAGATCACTGTTCAACGCTAGCGTTGTAATTTACGATCCTTACAAGGACACCGTCCTAGACATCTTGACGTTCGATGGCATCACGCACAACCCTGCCTTGCACATTGGTGGAGTGCAGGTAGACACTCGCACCAAACTAGTCTCGATTGTAGTCGACGCCGCTGCCCCCTTCAGTACCGGCGGCAAAGACGTGTCGGGTGACAACTTCATCATCAAGTACGACCCGGCAAAGAAGCAGGTCCTGTGGAACAAGAACATCACGGCCGTGACCAAAGGGGCATACGGAGGCTTCCAGGACATTGAGCACGACACCCACGGAAACACCTACGTCGTTGGCTCGTTCCCGGGTACAATCATGAAAGTCGACCGCCAAGGCTCTGCTGTCGTCCCGTGGTACCTCCCCGTGAAGATTGACCACACGAAAATGGGCTTCTCCGGCCTCGCAGCCACTGGCAATATCCTGCTGTCCAACAATAACGAGGACGCTCAGATCTACCGGTTCGACATGAAAGAGGACAAGGGCGCTCCCGTGCTCGTACCGAGATCGCCGAATGTGACGCTAGCGGGCACCGATGCCATTTATCTTCCACCAAGGTACGGTGGAAAGGTGTTGCTTATCGCCGAGAATACCAAAGGCGTGACTGTTTTGCGGTCAAACGATGGGTCCTGGAAGTCTGCCGAGCACCTTGGCACGGTACCGAATAATTCCACCGATGCTCAAGGAGGGATTGTCACTGCTCCGGTGCAAGTCGGCGACAGTCTGTTCATGGTTGAGGAGTTCTTTGCGGATGCTCCTGTTGCGGGCTCGACTTCTGGGAACAGGACTAGTTTCCCGATGGTGGACATCACCTCGCAGGTTGAGGATCTTCTCAAGAAGTGAGTGATTCGCGGTTTGGAATAGTAATTATAATGAATACACTCTTCTTCAACGAAGGAACTTCTGGAACTTCATCGCCATCTTCAGGCTGCAGATTTGATCCACTGATTCGATTAGGTGTTAATCGAGACCACTTTTCGGGACCCCTTGAGCTGACAAGCCCCTGGTCAATAGTCTGACATGCATAAGTCTGCAGGCATCCACAATCGCGCATCAACAGTCAAGTGCCTATTGGATATGCGGATTCAATCTAGTCCACACCCCTCGCCGATGGTAGGGCTACGATGTCAACCCAATAGCTCGTTATCACGGCCAATGTTTGCCGAGTTCGCTCTTAGGGCCCTTCCAATACTATGATGCCTTGATAACGAGATGTCTTCGCCAATCATGCCCTCACCATCACCAGTGTCTCACTCATGCGAGTGGTGTCGCAGGCTCCTCGTTATCCACGCCGAAGCCGATATCCCGCATCAGAACCGGGGCGACAGACACGACGCCAGGTGGAACAAGATCGTATTCGACACCAGTCTCACAGATCTTCTCACAGCCCAGCAGAAAACATGTGCCTTTATAGACTGGATACTCGACGGAGAGTGCATCGCACGACCAGACGTTGGCGAATGCGTCGACAACATATCCGGCGAGGTCTACCAGATGGACCTCGAAGAGCTCGAGCAGTTCCACGGCCAGATTGACAAGGACCCGAACTACAGGCTTCCTTCCATTCGCCACGCCGTCCAGGGCCGCAGCGACGGGTACGTCGACTATGTACTCGTAGCTGAGACGAACCCCCCATTCCGTATGGGTGGTGACCACACTCCAGACGTCCTGACTATAGAATTCTTTGGGCTTTGGGACCCGCGCACAAAGCTCGTCTCGTATAGGACGGTCAAGGGTCTGCAGATATGTACGCCTCATGATAACCCGGCAGCCAGAGACTTCTGGACGCGGCCGATACAGAATGATCCTGCGTGTTGTCTGCCTGCAGTGAAGTCATGGCTGGCAGATTGCGAGGATAAGCACGAAAGGTGTCGGGAGCTGAAGACGCAGTCTGGGCCGTCGGCACTCAGGCCTATTAGGCTGATTTATATTGATCACAACTCTAGAGCAGGGAGCTATTCGCTGCGGTTGCGAGATACGGCGAATCTAAATCCTCTACCTAGATTCGCAGCTTTGAGCTATTGCTGGGGCGGCAACCAGACGGTGAAATGCGAGACGGCTACGCTAGAGGCATTCACAAAGGATATTTCCTTTGAAAAACTGCCTCGGACGATACAGGACGCCGTCAAAGTCTGCTCGCAGCTCGGAGTTGAGTATGTCTGGGTCGATGCTCTCTGCATCATTCAAGATGAAGGCAACGACGAAAAGATTTTGGAAATCGCCAAGATGCCGTACATCTACGGTCAAGCGTCCTTCACCATTATGGCATCCAGAGCCAAGACTGCGTGGGAAGGGTTTCTCCAGAACAGAGAGTGTTTCAAAGAGTCTGGTCAAGCATTTCTTCTCTCCTGGCAGTCCGAAAAGGGCGAACTGGGATCGATTACCTTGGTCGAGATGGAGACAGGGCACGAACCTATTGACGAGCGGGGGTGGACTTTTCAAGAACGTCTTTTATCTGTCAGGATCGTCGAGTTCGGGTCCCGGCAAACTAGATGGAGCTGTCAAGAACCAATTC